CAAACAGGATTAGAGATAGTATGTTTAGTATTAAAGGTTATTGTAACTTTGTTCCTAACAAAGTTGGGACTGTTTTGCATTGGTATAGGCTTGTGGTCATTTTAATTTGACAACTTCAGGATTGTGGGACATCTGGGCAAATTCATTAATAACATTCTGGTCAGAGTTGTCCAAATTGTTTTAAGGAGAGACTAGACAACAATGGCAATTTCATTAGACATCAAGGGGAGATAATTAAATTCACTCTTATTGGAGGTAGTCATTGCCTGGCAAATTGTGTATTATGAATGTTATTTGCCATGCATCAGCCCAAGCCTCAGTGTTGCTCAGGACTTATTGCTTGCAAATATGGACTGCTTCACAATCTGAGGAATCACAAAGTTATGAATACGGCAATCATTAGCAACCATTACCACTTACAAGCAAATGGAGGCACAAAGTTAACTGATGAAACAGCCAACAGCGGCTGGGGCTTCTGTATTTAGGAACTCTTGCAGTCATGTTTTCAGGATTAGACAATTAGTATCCAACAGCACGGCCATTTTGCTTTGCGCAAGATATGACTCCAACCAGTAGAGCGTTTACCCCTGATTCTCATTGTCTCCGGTTTTGCTCAGGCTCTTTGATGTTGCACTTATTGCTGCCATGTATTGTCAAACGCTGGACATTAGCAAATAGATTGTTGGTATGTAAGCTCCATTTGTTAACCTTGTCAGTAACACCTTCTAATATGTTGTTGATTGACAGTAGAATAACAGGATGCTAATTGGCAGGATTAGATTTGTCTTGTATTTTGTGCAGTCATAGAGAGTCATAGAGATTTTCCAACATGGAAAGAGGTCGTTTGTCCCATAACATCCATGTTGATCATTAAATACCCAACTACTCTAATTCCATTTTCTAGCAATCAGCCTGTAGCCTTGTAAGCAATTGCACTTCAAATGCTCATCTAAATAGTTCTTAAATATCTTGAGGATTCCCACCTCGACCACACTTTTAGGCAGAGTTTCAGATCCCACATCCCTCTTGGTGAAAAAAATGTTTCTTCAACTCCCCTCTTAACTGGAAAAGCTCAGCAGGTCTGGCAGCAACTGTGGAGAGAAATCAGAGCGAATGTTTTGGGTTGAGTGACCCTTCCTCAGAACCATTCAGATCCAGACCTGCTGACCTTTTCCAGCAATTTCTGTTTTTGTTTCTAATTTATAGCATCTGCAGTTCTTTTGACTTTTATCCCCTCTAAACTGCCTGCTTCTTTAACTTAAAACTATAGCCTAGACTATTGATGCTTCTACTAAGGGGAAAACATTCTATCTAACTGTGCTGCCTATGCAGCTCAGAACTTTATACACTGCAATCAGATCCCCTCTCAGTCTTCTCTGTTCTAAGGAAAACAACTCCACTGCTTCTCATTCCATCCCAGGCAGCATCATAGTGAATCACCTGCACCCCATTCAGTGCAATCACATCCTTCCTATAGTGTAGTGAATAGAACTGCGCACAGTACTCCAGCTGTGACCTAACATTATATACAGCTCTGTCAAGCCCTCCTTGCTGTTGAATTCAATGCCTTGACTTATAAAGGCACATATCTCGTATGCCTTCTTAACTACCTTATTCACCTGGAAGCTCATATCCAGCACTTTCCCACATTATCAGGTTATCGATTTGCCAACCTTATTACCACTTAATGGAGAAGAGTTTGAAATTATTCAGATAAGATAAAGGGGAATCTTAAGCATCATGATCTAGCATGAGCTTCAATAAACAATGTAGAAAGGCAAGTGTTCAGGAGCAGCACCAGTTAAACTAAGAATGATTCATAGCTATTTATTGTGGTGGGCATTTAAACAACTCTGGAGGAGGCAGAGGCTCCACAAATATCCCTTGAAATGTCAATAGTTCTTCAACAACAAGGCTCAAAACTTGACTTACCTGGAAGGAAGTAGCCAGAACCTTATAGATGTTTAACACCATCCGAGATTGACACACCGCGTATGCTAATGAACTGACCAATATGCTTAGCTCCTCAAAGTAATACTGCAACACTGGCATCCACCTGACAATGTGGAAAATTGTCCAGGTATATCCTGTATACAACAACCAGGACAAATCCAACGCAGCCAATTACCACCCAAACTGCCTACTCCCTATCATCAACAGTGCTATCAAGTATCATGTACTTAGCAATAACCTGCTCAGTGATGGTCAGTTTGGGTTCCACCATGGCCACCCATTGTAGCCTTGGTTTAAACATGGACAAAAGAGACGATTTCCAGAGATAAGGTGACTGCATTTGACCAAGTGTGGCATCAGGAGCCCTAGCAAAACTGGAGCCAACAGAATCAGGGGAAAACTCTTCACTGGTTAGAATCATATGTGGCACAAAGGAAGGTCATTACAACTGTCGGGCATCAGTCATCTCAGTGCCAGGACATCTCTGCAGGAGTTCCTCAGAGTTGTGTTCAGCTGCTTCAGCACCATTTGTGACTTCAGACACTGAGTAGTTCATGTCCAAATGCAGCAAGACCTGGACAACATCCAGACTTGGGATGGCAAGTGGCAAGTAACATATGCACAACTCAAGTGCCAGGAAATGACCAGCTACAGTAAAAGCGACTCTAACCGTTGTCCCTTGATGTTCAATGATGTTAGCATCACTGATTTCACCCCCTCCCCCTCAACTATCAACATCCTGGGAGTTAGCATTGACTACATATCAAACTGGACCAGCCATAGTGTGGCTACGAGAGGTCAGAGGCTAGAATCCTGCAGCAAGTGACTGACCTCCTGACTCTGCAAAGCCTGTCTCAATCTATAAGGTATGTCAATAGTGTTATGGAATACTCCCCACTTGCCTGGATGAGTGAGTGCAGCTTCAACAACACTCAAGAAGTTTGACACAATCCAGGACAAAGTAGTCCATTTGATTGGTGCCTCATCTAATATTTTCAACGTTCACCCCCTATTCCACTGACACATAGTGGCAACAATGCATACCAGTTGTACAAAATGCTCTCCAATGACTCACCAAGCATCTCAATGACTTTCCTCCACATGACCTCTACCACCTAGGACAAATGAATAAAACCCAGTGGGAATGCAACAATATAATTCCCTCAAAGTCACATCCTGACCTGAAATTATGTTACCATTCCTTCACTTGCACTGAATCCAAATCCTGGAGCATCTCCTCACTAACATTGTGGGTTGATACCACATGGGCTGCAGTGGTTCAAGAACACCGATTAGCACAAAATTTTCAATGGCAATAGGAATGAGCAATAAATTCTGGCTTGGCCAATGCTGTCTATATCCCATGAAGGAATAAAAAAAAGTTAGCACAGTTTTACTTATAGTCATTCCTACTTATCAAAACTTATGAGCCATTGGATAGAAATTGCTAAGACTGGTGGTTGATTCGTTAGTTAAAGAACACAAATTTAAAACCATTTCCTAAAATAAAACCGACACAGAAAAATGGAAAATATGTTGGTGCAGTTATTTGATATGATCTGGAATGTACTGGAAGTAGATTTAATAGTAACTTCTAAAAGAAAATTTGCGTCATGTTTGAGAAAAAAACATTTCTATGAGGAACAAATGGGAGAATGGGACTAACTTCATATTTCTTTCAAAGAATTTGGAGAGGCATGATGAGATGAATGACCAGCTCACATGTTGTAAGATTCCATACTTCAATGATGGACTACTGGATAAAGACCAAGGTCATAGGATAGATGGTAAAACATTAAACATTGATTAGTAAGTGATTGATTTTCAGACAACAGTGAGGGGTAGGGCATTAATAGGTATTTGTTGGCTGCCAGTTAACAGCAAAGTGTAACAAAGTTCGGCATTGACGATGCTGTTGTTAAATTTTTTGAATAAAATGGAAAAGAAATTGTTTCCAAAATGTCCTAATTTATGGGTGGCACAAAATTTAGACACTATTTGGAGTAGGGGCTACATGAAGATTGTTAGTATGTCCACTTCAACAACTTCTGTAAGTAATATAACAAGATAACATTTGACCCAGAAAAATGTTCTGTCGTCAATGTGTTATTTAAGGTTACAGAGTAGGAGTGAGATTTTGATGCTTTAATGGATTGGTTCCTGGACTGAATGGCCTGTTTCTCTGCCATAATTTTTCTTGTATTCTATGGTTTCTAGGCATCCAAGCACAATATTCCTAAACCACTTTAAAGGAAATATGTTAGTTTCATTTTGGACCATCCACATCATCTCTACCAAGGAAACAACTTATTATAGGTGGAAAAAGTCACTAAGTACAAAACCTCTCAGAATATTAGGCTTAAGTGAATTGTACCCATAATGACATAACAACAATTGTTTTGCATGGCACTTGACTTTGTCAGTGTTGAGAATGTTGACTAGCGAAAAAGCTTTAGACACATCTGGCCCTGCCCTCTAAACAGAACACAGCTGGCTGCACAGTGCCCTTTGGCATGGTAACATCTGCTGGATCTGCAAGCAATTGGTTGTGTTTGCTTTTTATTCCTTCAGTGATTATTCTGATTGTATTGAGAGATTAGTTCTAACCAATGTTAATGGTTTTTCCTACGGTGCTGACGTTAAATGTTTAATTTGTATTACACACCCTCTTAGCAGATAATAAATCTACACTAAGCAAGAAAGTACAATGATCAAAATGCATTCACTCTATTTTTATTTTGCCAATTTACAATTAAGTGCATAAAAAGTTTTTAAAGTCTCTACACTCTGCAGATATGCTCAGCAACAGGGTTTATTATTCGTGCTCAATTTACTGATCAAAAATGGAAATAGCTACTTCTAGATTTCCAATTGCCAAGTTTGGCTTGTGACTAATATATTGGATAATACTGTTGTAAAAAGTATCTTTGCACAATTAACATCATAGGAATGAACACTACAGTTCACATATTGTTTGTCTTACTCCTGTTTACAGATCTTTTCAGAAGGAATTTTATTTTCTTATTCCTCAGGGGCCTATAATGTACCTGGGATTGCACCAGAGACGTCAGATTTGGAAATTCATCCTTGGCCTCCTCTACAATGCTCAATGCAGCCCGTTGGATGACAGTAGCTGTGAGAGAGACAGAGTAGAACCGAAACCGGAACTATTAGCTCAAGCAGATCAAACAAGAGTTTATATAAGCAATCAAGACATGAACTAATACAATTTTTGAAATAGCCCTTTAAACTTTTCCCAAATTAAAACATGAACAAATATACAGCATTAAATATACATGATTGCATTCAAATGTAAGACTTCTGAACAGACATTAAATGTGTGGAGACTAATTAAAGGAGACAGAGGTACAAGTATAAAATGAAGGAAAATTGCAATCTGAACAGATTAATAATTCAGTTAGCCCTTTAGCCAGAAATAATTCAGGAACCGTTACCATATCTTATCACTTTTTAGAAGCTGATGAATCTGCCATATCATTTCAGGTTTTTCTCTACAATAAGAGATGTTTGCATTTATACCACCATTAAGATTGAAGTGTTAAATTTGGGCATGGGATGCTTTCCATTTCAGCTCTCCCAAGTAAAATATAAGGAAATTAAGTGCAGAATAAATTTCCTTCAAGAATTTCTCAAGAGACTTGGATAAGGGAGGGACAGGATTGGCAGCTTAACATTCCAGGGTACAGATGTTTCAGGTAGGATAAAGGGGGATGTGAAAGGGGTGGGGGAATTGCACTACTTGTTAAGGAGGATATCACAGCTGTACTGTGGGAGAACACCTCGGATGGCTCATGCCACGAGGCAACATGGATAGAGCTCAGAAACAGGAAAGGTGCACTCTCAATGTTTGGGGTTTACTATAGGCCTCCCAACAGCCAGCAGGAGATAGAAGAACAGATATGTAGGCAGATCTTGACAAGATGTAAAAGTAACAAGGTTGTTGTTGTGGGTGATTTTAGCTTCCCATACATTGACTGGGACTCACTTAGTGCTTGGAGTGCAGATGGGACAGAGTTTGTAAGGAGCATCCAGGAGGGCTTCTTGAAACAGTATGTAGATAGTCCAACTAGGAAAGGGGCCATACTGGACATAATATTGGGGAATGCGCCCGGCCAGGTGGTCGATATCTCGGTAGGAGAGCAGCTCAGGAACAGTGATCACAATTCAGTAAGATTTAAGGTACTGATGGATAAAGATAAGTGTAGTTGTTGGATGAAGGTGCTAAATTGGGGGAAGGCTAATTACAACAATATTAGGCAGGAACTGAAGAATGTAGATTAGAGGCAGATGTTTGAGGGCACATCACCATCCAGTATGTGGGAGGCTTTCAAGTGTAAGTTGCTGGGAACTCAGGACCGGCACATTCCTGTAAGGATGAAGGATACGTATGGCAAGTTTAGGGAACCTTGGATAATGCGAGATATTGTGAGCCTAATCAAAAAGAAAAAGGAAACATTTATCAAGGCTAGGAGGCTGTGAACACACGAAGTAAGGGTGGAAAACAAGGAAAGTTGAAAGAAACTTAAACAAAGAGTCAGGAGGGCTAAAAGGGGTCATGAAAAGTCATTGGTCAACAGGATTAAGGAAAATCCCAAGGCTTTTTATACATATATAAAAAGTAAATGGGTAGCCAGGCAAAGGGTTGGCCCAGTGAAGGACAGGGAAGGGAATTTACATGTGGAGCCAGAGGAAATGGGTGAGGTATTAAATGAGTACTTTTCATCAGTATTCACTATAGAGAAGGACTTGGTGGATGATGAGTCTGGGGAAGGATGTGAAGATAGTTTGGGTCACATTGAGATCAAAAGGGAGGAGGTATTGAGGGTCTTGAAAAACATTAAGGTAGACAAGTCCCCAGGGCCTGATGGGATATACCCCAGAATACTGAGAGGCAAGGGAGGAAATTGCTGGGGCCTTGAGGGAAATCTTTGTTTCCTCACTGGCTACAGGGGAGGTCCCAGAGGATTGGAGAATAGCCAATGTTGTTCCTTTGATTAAGAAGGGTGGCAAGGATAATCCGGCCACTTACAGGCCGATGAGACTTGCGTCACTGGTAGGGAAATTATTGGAAAGGATTCTTCAAGACAGGATTTACTCCCACTTGGAAATAAGTGGGCGTATTAGCGAGAGGCAACATGGTTTTGTGAAGGGGATGTCGTGTCTCACTAACTTGATTGAGATTTTCGAGGAAATGATGAAGATGATTGATGAGGGTAGGGCAGTGGATGTTGTATACATGGACTTCAGTAAGGCCTTTGACAAGGCCCCTGATGGCAGACTGATACAGAAGGTAAAGTTGCACAGGGTCAGAGGTGAGCTTGCAAGATGGATAAAAACTGGCTGAGTCATAGAAGACAGAGGGTAGCAGTGGAAGGATGCATTTCTGAATGGACAGCTCTGACTAGTGGCGTTCCTTGGTGATCAGTGTTGGGACCTTTGCTATTTGTCATATACATGATTTGGAGGAAAATGGAACAGGTTTGATTAGTAGGCTTGCATATGACACAAAGGTTGGTGGAATTGCAGATAGCATTGAGGACTGTCAGAGGATACAGCAGGATATAGATTAGTTGGTGACTTGGACAGAGAGATGGCAGATGTTGTTTAATCCGGAAAAATGTGAGGTAATGCAATTTGGAAGGTCTAATGCAGATGGAAAATATACAGTAAATGGCAGAATCCTTAACTGTACTGATAGGCAGAGGGACAAAAAGAAAGTTGCTGGAAAAGCTCAGCAGATCTGGCAGCATCTGTGAAGGAAAAAACAGAGTTAACATTTTGGGACTGGTGACCCTTCCTCAGAACGCAGATAGGCAGAGGGATCTGTGTGTACAGGTACACAGGCAACGCAGGTGGAAAAGGTAATCAACAAGACATACAGCATGCTTGCCTTCATTGGCAGGGGCGTTGAGTTTAAAAATTGGCAGGTACTCTTTATAGAACCTTAGTTAGGCTGCATTTGGAGTATTGTGTTCAATTCTGGTCGCCACACTACCTGGTGGCTTTGGAGAGGGTACAGAAAAGATTTACTCGGATGTTGTCTGGTATGGAGGGCATTAGCTATGAGGAGACATTGGAGAAACTAAGGCTGTTCTCACTGGAACGACGGAGGTTGAGGAGTGACTTGATAGAGATCTACAAGATAATGAAGGGCATGGACGGAGTGGGCAGTCAGAAACTTTTTCCCAGGGTGGCAGAGTCAGTTACAAGGAGACATAGCTTTAAGGTGCGAGAGTCAAGGTTTAAAGGTGATGTATGAGGCAGGTTTGTTGCACAGAGGGTGGTGGGTGCCTGGAACTCGCTGTTGGGGTAAGTAATGGAACCAGATACGATAGTGACTTTTAAAGGGAGTCTTGACAAATATATGAATAGGATGGGAATAGAGAGATACGGTCCCCGGAAGGGTCGGGGGTTTTAGTTGTGACGAGCAGCATGTCGGTGCAGGCTTGAAGGTCCGTAAGGCCTGTTTCCGTGCTATAATTTTCTTTGTTCCTTGATTCCTAACTGCATTATTTCCAATTTCCAAAGAGCCACTTTGTGGAATGGATAAACTGAGAGAACAGTTTTCATGCTTTGGACTCCTGTCCACAAAGAGCTGGATTGAAATTATCAAATCCATTTCACATTGGTCACTCCTAGAAGAAGCTTTCATTCTGAGTGACAAAATTAGTCTGCACTTGGAGAGGCAGGGATTATTCCAAAATAGTCAGCATGTTTCGTTAAGAGGAGGAAATGCCTGACCAACTTGATTGAATTTTTAAAAGAGCTAACCTGGTGCATCAATGAGAGTAATACATTTGACTTAGTCTACTTAGACTTCACCAAGGCTTTTCATAAGGTCCTGTATGGTAGATGAATAGAAAAGGTAAGAGCCTAAGGAATCCAAGGAAATTTGGCAAATTGGATCCAGAAATGGCTGAGTGACGGAAGCAGAGGATGATGGTCGAGCGTACTGGAACTGGAAGCCTGTGTCCAATATGGTTTCACAGGGATCGGTGTTGGGGATCTTGCTGTTTGTTGTATTGTTAAACAATTTAGACTTGAATGGAGGAGGGTCAATCAGTTAAGTTCACAGATGATACGAAGATTGTTGAGGTGGTAAATAGTGAGGAGTATAGCCTTAGATTACTGGAGGACATGTGCAGGTTATTCAAGTGGGCTGATCTGTGGCAAATCGAATCTAGCTAAGTGTGAGGTGATGCACTTGGGCAGGACAAACAAGGCAAGGGAATACATGATGATTAGTAGGACTCTGGGAAGCACCAAGGATCAGAGAGACTTCAGTGTGCATGTGTACCAGTCAGCAAGACAGATCGATAAAGTGGTTCAGAAGGCATATGGTATACTTGCCTTTATTAACTGTGGCATAGAGTTTAAGAGCAGGGAGGTGATGGAACTGCATAAAATGTTGCTTAAGCCAAAGCTCAAGTATTATGTGCAGTTCTGGAATCTTACATTCAAGAGTTACGAGAAGGATGTGATAGCACTGGAGAGGGTGCAAAGCAGATTTACCAGGATTTTGCTTGGGCTGGAGAGTTTTAGTTATGAAGAGAGATTGGATAGACTAGGGTTGTTTTCCTTGGAGTAGTGAAGATTGAGGTAGAAAATGACTGAGATGTATAACATTATGAGGGGCATAAACAGGGTAGATGAGAATAACCTTTTACCCTTGGTGGGGAGATCAATGATCAGGGCCGTAGATTTAAGGAAAGGGACAGGAGGTTTAGAGTGGATGTGAAGAATATCTTTTCACCCAGTGGGTGGTGGGTGAATCAGGAACTCACTTCCTGTAAAGATGGTTGAGGTAGAAATCCTCATAACATTTAAGAACGGATCAGCTATGATCCTATTGAATGGTAGAGCAGGCTCGAGAAGGCAAATAGCCCACTTCTGTTTGTATTTCTTATGGTTTCATGGTCTTAAGTATTTGGATGTACACTTGCTAAGGCACACGAGGCTATGGACCAAGTGCTGGAAAATGGAATTGGAATAGTTAGGTGGTTGTTTTTAACTGGTGCAAACTCAAAGGGCCAAATGGCCTTTTTCTGTGCTGTGGACCTCTATGACTATAAGTTAATCTGAGCCAAATTTGAAAGGGATCTGAGTGAAAGGCA